CGAATCTTCCTTCAGCTCTATGGTAAGTATACATCTTCACGCCACACAAGTTTCTTTATATGTGGCATTTTTGCACTTATATGTGATATACAGGCAGCACTTTTAACTTTTGTTTTATTTTCACTATCTGATGTTTAATATTACACAGTGTAACAGCAGCTACCTGAAAATACAACGTGTATTTTAATTTTATCCGAGTGTAGGTATTCATGGTTATCCTACTGCATATTATTAATCCATTGTGTCAATGGCCACTTTGTAAGAAGTTGAGGGCTTTTCAAAAACTTTTAGATCTCTTGTGGCTGCTACTTCAACCTGTTAATTCATGCAACTATCTAAAAAGCCTCTTTTTACTACTGTATTTAAACCAAGCTAGAAGTAAAAACTAAAAAATTCATTTCACAGAAAAATTATGTGATGCTAGAATACAGTGTTGCTGTGAAAATCAACACTGTTCCATAATACCTCTTAAGGACATCTCACAAGCATTTAGAAGATGTGTGTTTTTTCATATTGCCCTCAAAGTCCAAGTAAAATGACCCTCTCACTGTTGTACAGATTTTTTTTCAAAGTGTTGCTTAGGTAAATGTTCCCCATGGCAGTATCCAGCTCCAAATGCCTTTTTTGGCAATAGCTTGCCTATTAGACTGGAAAATGGACAGAATTTTGTATCAAGATTCACCCCCATAGACTTTCATAGGATTCACAGATACGTTTGGTATTCAACAAACTTACTGCAAATTGGACAGATTCACCCAATCTCTAATTGTTAAGAAAGGTCGCTGCAGCTGGCCAGCCTAAACATGTATTGCAATATATGTGAACCAAGAATCCCTGTTTTTATACAAAATTTTATTGAAATATATAAGGATATATAGTAGTGTACATAGGGTAATTCAGAATATTTAGTGTCAACATGTGGTCACACCCTCATAGCACCTCGTGTGTTATATGTAAGCATTGTGAATTTGAGAACAGACATTGCCATTTTTATTCCATAGCGCAGGTCAGTGATCTGAGTCTGTATCTCTCCCTCAACTGTGTCTGTCTGCCCCATATTGGCACATGGGGTTTATTAACTAAAGCTGAAGAGTGCAAAATCAGGCTCACTACTGCATAGAAACCAATTAGCTTCTAACCTTAGCTTGTTCAATTAAGCTTTGGCAATAAAATCTGAAAGCTGATTGGTTTCTATGCAGAAGTGAGCCTGATTTTGCAGTCTCCAGCTTTAGTAAATAAACCCCTATATGTCCAATAAAGTATGCTATAAGCAAGTATGTATTTGGTATTTTGCACAGTAGATTATGGACTGGCCAAAAGATAAATCACTTTGACTCTGTTTGAACATGTATTGCAATATATGCTTACCAGGAATCCCATATCACCATTTCCATTGCATATCACAAGTCACTGACCAAACCTGTAGCTCTCAGAATCAGTAGCATTGTGGAGTGGAGCACAGGCAAATCTCAATTTCTAATCACTAAAGAATAACCTCCTTCCATTGGTGGTTAGCGAAAAAAATGCCCTGACATTGGTGTTCAGTGGGAAGAATGCCCCTTGCATTGGTGGTCAATGATTAGAATACTCTTTACATTTGTGGCCAGTGAAAGAATATATTTTACATTGGCAGTCAGTGGGTAGAAGTAGTGGTCATTGAAAGATTGCCCCTTACATAGGGGGGGTAAATGGAATGAGGGGGTCATTTGTGTGGAGGGAAAGAAGGCCCATTTCCTTGGTGAGAGAAGGGCCTCTTTTCATTTCTGGTCACTGTTAAACAGTGGGAGAAGGTCTGAAGGTCAGTAGGAAAAATGTCCCCTTACATTATTCGTTAGTGTCAGCCTAATAGATCATTCGTGGCAGTGGTTACTTACCTGAAAAGTGAAAGACATGGCAGTCATTACGCAAAAGATCAATCAGCCTGAATGAATACACACAGACAATGCAACCTTACTATCTACATACCACAATGATTATGTAACCTAATGTTTGCATTGAACTGATCATTTTTATATGCTTTTTTTTTTTACTGACATTAACCTTTACTAATGCATTTTGTCATCATAAGCTTAATATGAATTGCACAAATTTGTGAAGGCTTTTCCAGCAATCTATGTGGTTGTTGTGAATTTTATTATTAACCTTGATATTACCTGAATACTCTTATTAGTTATGAACCTGCTCTACAATGAATACTATAGAATTTGTTAGAAAAAATGCTTGTATAGAACCCAAAGACCGCAAAACAGGGACACAACCTTTGTGAACTTGTGACGGCAATAGACTGGAATCCCAGCAGTGGCATACATTAGTCATCACTAGTCATTTAATCATAAACATTTCACTCCGGCAACATAAGCACAACTCCCATCTCAACAAAAAATATTCTATTAACTTAAAGTTTGGAAATGTCAATTTTAAAATGGACAGAATAACTTGTGAGGCAACATCATTATTGGCTGTCTTATCTGGAAATGTCAGTGCTCACTTGAGATAAATGAAGATGGGAATGAAACCATTAAGTCAAGTTGCTCCAGGCATTCTATTTATTAATAATGTCCCACTGTGGAACTATGGAAATGTTCTGTCCAAGTGTATCTATATGCAACCAAGAGACTGAAATGTTTAACAAACTTAGATAGAAAAATATATTTCCTTCTTTAAATCATTTCTCCAGCTGTTAGGGAAATATCACTTTATAGGTTCATTAACATGTCCTAAAAGTTTTAGCACATGACACACTTGAGTGCTTGTGCTCCCATCCTGGGATTTCCCTACAGGGTTTAATGAAACCTACATGCAGTTCTTTTCTCAACCTGCTGTGAAAAACAAAAAAAAAAAATGACAGATCATGAAAAAGGTCATATGGATGACAACCAAAGCCTGGAGGGTAATGGTGAGGTGAGCAACACCAGAACAAAAAAACTTACTCTGTTTTAGTTGCTTCTGTGCACTCTTGCCCTGACTCCCTGTAGCAGTTAAATATTTGCTTTGTACAGTAACTTCTTAACGGTTCTGGTAGTCTTAGGCTGCTCTTGAATAGTATGTTACATACTTCATGGTCTGTTGTCTTTTTGTGGAGAGTTTAGCTACAAAGGACATGAAGTACTTAAAGCAATGAAAACTAGCAACTAGACCAGTCACCTTCAATAACCAATGAGTTTCCCAATTGCATTTAACTGATAAAACCTGTTTTGGTGCTATGGACAACTGCCATTTTTTTCCTTTTAGATTTTGTATATTAATCCCACAGTCAGTCATGCTTCTCATCCTGGATTTCAGAGGCATATGGGACCTACTCCTGGCAGGCCAATAGCTTAAATGCAATAATTTATTATTTTGCTTTTTCATTTAAAAAACCTTAAGACAGACATCTCAATGCCTCATTTGCAAAACATCTAGAGGCTGCAAAGTCCTATAACATAAAATCCCCAGTTCGTCCCCGCTCTCAGGGAGTCACAAGTAGTGCATACAGTCAGTCATACAAGTGAATGGCTATTTGGGAGCCTGCCCTACCAGCTTCTGATCACAAACAGTGAATGTGAGCACTGAGTGAGCTTGCCCCCATCTTAACAAGTGATGCTGGCTGTATGCAGATATGCAGCAGCTCAGTGTTAAAGAGCCTACATAGGGTGTGATTAGAAATAGGTCTCCTATATCACTAGCAGGGATTCTCAGGTTTCCAGATTACCAAAATTTTAGTGAGGTGGACTGGAGGTTATTGGAATCACTAAATATCACCTATAGATGCCTTTCTACATCTACTTCCTGTGCAATGGATGGGTAGAAAATACTCATCTGCAGGGGCGTGTCTAGTGTTGAGCACCCAGGGCACGCACCTTGCATCTCCTGCAGGATGTCTCTGGTGTTCCAAGATCCTGCACAATCCCACACAATCCCTATGATATCTGCTGTCATTAGACAGATAAAAAGCAAAGGCACAGAGACAATCAGAACGGCTCTGTGCCTTTTTGATGACCACCAATGTAATGGGGGCACACTGACTACCAATCTAAGGGGGCACAGATACTCTCCACCAATGTAAGGGAACACAACACCATTCTCCAATAAATGAGAAACAATGACCCCCAATATAATGAGGCTCATGGACTGCCAGTGTGTGAGGGCACAGACACTGACCACCTTCCTGTTAACCACTATGCTCTGTCCATCATATATTTTATACTTTACAGGTTTCAGGTACCGAGGTTAGGGTTATGCCTGTGAGACTCTTGCTTGTGACAGTAATGAAATCATATTTTGTGAGTGCTGAAGGACTGTGGTATATGTGTATTATCTATACAGTGAAGGCTCAGCCATCCTTTTGAAGATATATATATATATATATATATATATATATTTTTGTGTACACTTATGAAAGGTTATCCATTAGTCCATAAATCCAAATAGTTCTTAGGCCCATTCTTGTTTGAAGTGAACCTTTCGGTTCCCCAACTATGTAACCACAGTGTAAGCACAGTTCATAATCCACTTCCTTAATCAAATGAGCAGCCTAAGCAGACTAAACAAGACTAATATTTATATGCAATTTTTACTTTTTTGTTACAATAGCCCTAATCTCCATCTCTAACCACCCCTACTGGTTGCTGTTGTATGCATGATGAAGCGACCCATGACTTTCAAAAAAAGGCATTGTTGTTCTAACCTACTCTTAACAAATGGGCGAATAACTGGGTATCAGAGGACAGATGGGAGCATAGTCGTTCACTGATTATTCACTGGTGATTTGTTTATAAGCTGAATAGTTCATGTTAGTTAGCAGTATCTGTAATCGATGTCAAAGGAAAGAGTTGCTTTAGGAAGAAGGTAGAATAAAAACAAATTGATACTTACAGCAATCAGCTGGTAGGAGTTGTTCATCATGGCTATCAACATGTTGAGTAAGACAACCAGGGAGATGACATTGTACGTTCCAAACATGGTGGCTCCAACAAATTCTGTGAACTCATGGCGTGCTTTCACATTGGTAACATACAAGTTTAGAAGACCAAACACTGACCAGAACAGGGACTGAAGGGTCTCAAAAAGGCTGTAATATATAAAAAAAAAAGTTCAATATTTATAAAAACTCAGCTAACAATTAAGTATAATAGTATACATAAAGAAGTACAGTATCTCCAACATCCATTATCTAACAGATGTATTTAAAACATAATATGCATACATTCATTAGCAAAGGAAATATAAGCCTTGACTCTTCAGCAGAAGCAAGTGCACCCTTAGCATTTGCACATCTGGAGCTACATAACCATGCAACATCAAATTACCCAGGTAACCCAAACTTTAATTATATATTTCATTTTTGTGGCCCCTTCACTCTGTATTGAAATCAATTACATGATTGGTAAAATATAACACAATGATTCATTGATATTCCTCAAACAGGGAAACAGGAAAACTGAGGGAGAATTAATTCGCAAAAGTGTATTTTCCTTCTACATTTTAGGTATGACTTCCTTTACATGTCAAATTGGACTTTTAATTAGGAATGAGCTCAAGGATCATTTTGAAAAGAAGTTCAGACCAAACTATTCCATTGTTAGTCTTAGTCTGTAGACTTTTAGCCTGTTTAAAGGGTGCCAAACATCATAGTAGCAATATTTCTACTGAAGCTATAAATGCCATTTTCATTTCTGTCAATTGCTGCTAAGGAAGCCAAGGGTTCCCTGGGGTAATGTGACATTACTGACCAATTATGGCACCATGGCCATATTTGGGCAATGACATTGAGCAAACCATTTTTAGTCAATTGCATCATCTGTGAAACCCTGCCCCTTTGTTTACATTGAGTGTCAGGGCCTCAGGAAATGTAATTCGACATAAGACAGCAATACGATTTAATGTGTCTGTTAGCCAGCAGGATTTTATTTTTGTTGGGCATCGAGTATTGAGATTGAGTCGATCTGCTTCTCTGGATGACATGACTGATGATAGATTTACATTATGGGACAGGATATTTTTTAATTAGGAACTTGTCAAAAACTGTGTAAGTGTCTTTATTTACTGTTTACATTTTTGTGTGTGAATGAGTAGGGGTTCAATGAACCATTTTCTTAACTGCACAGAAGGAGGAGAGAGAATCTGGGACCCCCATATTGTTAAATGAGGCTTCCAAATTTATATAAGCCCCCCAACCACAGACCCCCACAACATCTGGGCCAGGGTTGGGGGGGAAAGCCTGTTATCCTCATCAACAGGGTAATCCCCCATGCTGAGAACATGTGGGTTGGTATTGTTCAGGTTGGGTGGGGAGGCTCAAGCTCACCCACCTTTGCACTGGCCAGCCAGGTTGAATAAAGATCTGGAAAGGATTTTTTTTGTGTGGTGTTCCCCTTATATGTAAATTCTTTTTATTAAAGGTTTTCAGGTTACAGTAAAAAGGATTTCCAAATGAGAAAAAAAATATTACAATAATAGTATAAAAAAGTAACAAAAAGGGAAAACAAACATAAAAAAAACATATTGATCTATGTCCAAAGAAAGGAGAAAAAAAGCTCTCTCTTTTAAATGCCAGCTTTGCTGTAGTTGGCTGTATATATTGTACAGATGTGCAACTTCACAGGCATGTTAAGCTCACCCCCCAGACATTATTTAAAGGATTTTTTTTCTCTCTTTTTTTTAAATCTGTTTTTATTGGTTTTTGAGTTGCCCCCCAGCCAACCTTTTCAAGCTCACCTACTCAGGTGAAAGAGGCCAACCTGCATACCAAACACTAGATACTCGGTTGTGGCATGGTATTTTCATTTAAAAAACACCATTCCACAGTAGAAGAAAAAAACCCTACCTGTACTGCTTTCTGCAAAGCAATACAGTATACTGTACAGCACAGTGGCTAAATGGTTAGCACTTCTACCTGGCAGTACTAGGGTCGTTGGTTCGGATCCCAATCACAGCACCACCTGCCTGGCTTTGCATGTTCTCCCTGTGCCTGCGTGGGTTTCCTGCAGGTTCTCCAGTTTCCTCCCACACTACAAAGACATGCTGGTAGGTTAATTGGATCCTGTCTAAATTGGCCTTAGTATATGTATGTATGAATGTGAGTTAGGGACCTTAGATTGTATGCCCCTTAAGGGTTAGCAACTGATGTGAATGTACAATTCTATATACTGTATATGTAAAGCGCTGCGTAAATTGATGGTGCTCTATCAGTACCTATATTAATAATACTGTGGATTACTTTTCAGAGAGCAATGCAGGTAAATATCCAAGGGGTCTATTTAAAAATGTTGACACAAGATTCATTCAACTTGCATTCAAGTGTTACAACTTTTATTGGATTTAGTTTGAAAACTGTATGAATACTAGGTAAAAGTGTGAATCTTGGAAAACATATTTATAAATAAACCCCTAAATGCTATATTTTATGCTGTGTTCCTATGGGAAGGCTGCATGCAAATGTGGCTTTCATGTAAGGAGAAGGAAAGGAAGAGGAAGAGAAGAGGTGCTGTCTCTTTAACAACTGATTATATTCCAGATGTAATTTTAATTTGTTTGCCTCTCACCTGTCCTGGTCTCTAGTTAGATATAAGTTCAGTTGAGGAGTAGAGAGGCTACATTCTAGATCTTGTAAGGGCCTCTACAGTGGTCTTGCTTAATTGGGAGGCTATAGAGAAGCCTCAAAGTGTTTGGGAGCATGTGGCCTGAACTGATGCAGAAAATAAGTTTTTATCAGGGAAGCTATCTGAAAATAAACATTTTAATTATACGCTATGCGCTTCTTTAGATACTGGACAAATTCCACTGGGCCACATTATGCAAATGTATCTGCTGTGGAAGCTGGAGACACTACAGAAGATGTCCAAAAAAAAAAACCCTAATCAAAGTATACATTATGTCCTGTACGTCTGCTTTTCAACCCCATCCCCATACAGCAGCTGTAGAAGCTGTTGCTGTTTTTAAAAAAAAAGGAATATCAAACACCATGCTGATAAACACTGTTCATACTCAAGATAGAGAGTTACAAAAAACCTTATTACTTTTGAATCCACTCTGATTCAAAGAGATGAGCTTCAGTCTGCAGATGATGTCAGCTAAAGCAAACCAACATTTAAAAAAAAAAAAAAGTTTAAAAAAAAAACATTTTAATTAATTTCTATTTAATTTCTTCTTAACCCTTTGTTTACAGAAGTTAACTGATTTCCCTCTTTATCCTCAACTATTTTGTTTCTATTCTAACCACCAATTAAACTTTTTTTTTAGGTTTTATTTATTTTTTTGTTACTTTGTTAGTGGTATTTTTGTTTGTTACATGGTAGTGGTTTTTAAAAGTAACAAAACACTATTTAAAATAATTAACACTGAGCAAGCTAAAAAAAGTATTTGTTTTATTTTAGTTTTATTACATTTTTTGTCTATGAAAATAAAATAATTTTCATGAGGCAATGGGCTGCATTCACAAAGCGATATCTACCACTTTAAGAAATGTGGTGAAATACCACTCAGCATTTTTCAAAAAAATGTTTTGACATTCACTAAATAACTGAGAAAACTACTAAAATATTTGATATTTATCTCATGAAACCATGCGGTATTTTATCTCATGCACGACTCAGTGGGATGGATACAGTAGAGAAGAATTAGAACCCCTGTCAGTTTTTATTGCTAATAAATAGATAAACGTAAAATGATTTAAACTGTAGAAATATGCCAACTCACCAAGTCAGTGTGGTCTCTGCAGCAGATGTATTAATACTAGAGATGAGCGAATCGAACCAGGCGAAGTGGAATTCATTTCGAATTTCAGGAAAAATTTGATTCGCGTCGAATCCGAATATTTGCATACTTCGGGCGCACGAATCGGATTTTTCCCGATCAGCCGGCAAAAGTGTCCCTGCAGAGAGCTCCGCTATTTCTGACAGTTCTCTGACAGTTCCTTCACATGTACAGCGGTTGAAACATTGTATCTATTTGTTTCCATTTAGGATACAGATGTTTTTATTCGGAAATAAATAGATACAAATGTTTCAACCGCTGTAAATGTGAAGGAACTGTCAGAGAACTGTCAGAAATAGCGGAGCTCTCTGCAAATACACTTTTTGCTGTACTGGAATACTTCTTCTTTTCATTCTTCTTTTCATTCTTCTTCTTATTCTTCTCCTTCTCCTCCTTCTCTTCATTCTTCATGAAAAGAAGAATGAAAGGAATGAAAAGAAGAAGAATGAAAGGAAGAAGAATGAAAGGAAGAAGAATGAAAGGAAGAAGAATGAAAGGAAGAAGAATGAAAGGAAGAATGAAAGGAAGAAGAATGAAAGGAAGAAGAATGAAAGGAAGAAGAATGAAAGGAAGAAGATCTTTTCGAAAGGAAGAAGAATCTTTTCGTTCTTCTTCTTCTTTTTCTTTCTTCTTCTTCTTCTTTTCATTCTTCTCCTCCTCCTTCTCTTCATTCTTCATGAAAAGAAGAATGAAAAGGAGAAGAATGAAAAGGAGAAGAATGAAGAGGAGAAGAAGAATGAAGAGGAGAAGAAGAATGAAGAGGAGAAGAAGAATGAAAAGAAGAAGAAGAATGAAAAGAAGTGAAAAGAAGAAGAAGAATCTTTTCATCTTCTTCTTCATTCTTCTTTTCGTTCTTCTTCTTCTTCTTCTTTTCATTCTTCTTCTTCTTCTTCTTTTCATTCTTCTTCTTCTTCTTCTTTTCATTCTTCTTCTTCTTCTTCTTTTCATTCTTCTTCTTCTTTTCTTCTTCTTCTTTTTCATTCTTCTTCTTTTCATTCTTCTTCTTCTTTTCATTCTTCTTCTTCTGAGGATGAGGATGAAGAATAAGAAGAATTCCCAATGAAAAAAAGTGTATCTGCAGAGCTCCGCTAAGTGTATCTGCAGAGCTCCGCTAAGTGTATCTGCAGAGCTCAGTGGTTGAAACATTGTATCTATTTGTTTCCATTTATGGAAACAAATAGATACAATGTTTCAACCGCTGTAAATGTGAATGTCAGAGAACTGTCAGAAATAGAGGAGCTCTGCAGATACACTTTTTGCCGGTTTGGAATTCTTCTTATTTTCATCCTACTTCTTCTTCTTCAGCCTCATCTCTCA